CGAACCCCCTCAGACGCTTCGCTGCTCCGGAGCCTCCATGAGCGCCGTCTGCCGGAAATCAACACGGCCCCATTCGCCTCGGAGCCGTCGAGTCACTTCCGGAGCGCGGCCACCGGGGACGGGGCGGCGCGAGCGGACTACAACTCCCGTGGTGCAACGCGCGCCCACGCAGCAAGCGGTGCTGCGCGGGACGGAGCGGGGCCTGACGGGAGATGTAGTTCGCCTGGGCAGGAAAGGGAGCCCGCTCTTCACGCAGCCCTGGGTCCCACCAACGCTGCTGTCCCTTGCTGTGTTTTCTGGGTTAAAACATGACTGATTTGCTCTGAGCACCGAAGAGCAGAGAAAATTTCGTATCTTCTGTACCTAGAAATTAAAGTCAATCTTGCTATGGAAGTAAAAGGCTGGATCCAAGGTGTTTAAATCCAGATACAATTGGCGAAAGCAATTAGGAACAAATAAAACCTGCATTCAAAAGTAAAAGAGAGAAAAAATGGAAAAGTTAATCAGAAAAACTACCTGATTAAACACGCTGACATACACCAATTACACTGAGAGAACACTGCTGTAACAGCGTGTGGCGCTGCATTACCGAGACACTGTATCTGTCCTCACAGATGCCGTTCGGATTCTGGAAGTTTACACTGAAGAAGTGCGCACATCATGTATATTTACTGTGTAAACTGCTCTTCAGTGCCATGTCAGAGCACTGACCATTAGACTGCACTTGGTGCTCAGAGCACAGCCCTCCTTGACTTCAGTAGTAGCTTCCACCAGTGAGGTTTCCAAGCCTACCTCAAACCTTGCACAGACAGTCTAATGGCCTGGTTAACATCACACGTGAACGCAGAGGCACAAACAGAAAGATGTCTAGTTTTCCAAGGGCAAACCCAAAGACAGTCTTTGCTACGCCATCTTCCCTTTCTTCCTGCTAATGCCTCTCAATGTCTTCCATCTTTTGCAAAAACGGGAAGGTCATGACAGCAATAGGAGACTTTAAACTTCAATGCCATGTGGCAGTGGAAGGGGACTGGAAATCTATGTTTGCGTTTCACAGACTGTTGCGCAGCTAAAAGGTGATAAGCGTCAGAGCTTGTGCTCTGTGCCAGATTAAAGGGAAGAATCTTATAGTGGGTGGACACATCTGCTTACTCCCCTTGGGCTCAGTCCCCTCTTCTGTCTCTGCCCCAGGTTTCCTTTCCAGACCCACCTGCAGTCCTGAGAAGTCTCGGCGCACTTTCGGTTTGTCTGTCCAGTCCTCCCCTGTTTTCCTAAGACTGTCACCCCGCAATGTCTTGTTAGCCTCTGTCCGCAACCATTTCCAGTTTCTTTGTCCATCCAGAGTCTGCTTCCAGGACCCTTCCCCGGCTCCTCATCTTTCTCAGTTATCCACGGCTACCCCTTTCTGTATCCCTTTTAGCCTCTGCTTTTCTGCCATCCCTTTCAGTCTCCATCCTGGGAATCTCATTTCTTCCACTGACTACCTGCTACCTGTATTTTTTCCTGGCAGCATTTCTCACACAATTCCCTAAATCCCAAATCCCAATCTTTATTCCCCATTCCCCCAATTTTAGGTATTTTTTAAAAACATGCCACAAACAACTACAATGCAACAGATTACCAGAATGCATCTTTTTCCTCCAAAGTGCTGATGTCTGGTTAAAGAAATAAGCAACTGAAAACAGGGGATTTCCACAGGGCAGTTTCAGCACACATTGCTGCTGATTCTACTTACCACACAAATTTTAAAGCTAGACCTAACCAAATTCCATTTAAGTGAAGGAGGCTAAAGCAGCTTTAAATGCCTTGAAAGTAATTTTTCGTCAACTTTCACATGAAATTCCATTTAAAAGGTAAAAGTATTCCACCTCTATACCATATCTTTCACTTAGCTTTGAAAAATAAAGGCAAACCTTCATATAAGCATTAGGTTCAGTATGATTTTACACTTTAGAATATGCAGTATTATCAGAGTTAATGAGGAAATGCCAGAAATAGCAAATGCATCTCTCCTTCATCAGAAAATATTTTTAACAAGTTCTACTTGGAAGAATGCTAGTTGAAATTTCTTCAACATCAAGTAGTCATTCATTGCCCTTACAGTAAGAAAATCCAGACAGCAATAAGACATCCTTGGTGCATCTTCCAATTAATAAACGCATTGGCTAAGCACTGAAAACTAAGCAGCATATCATTAAACTGAAGTAGGGAATCAATTGGAATTGGTGAAAACAGCGGTTACTATGTCTAAGTAATGTCTCCTGACCTCATTTTGATGCCAGTGGGAAAGTCATCATGAAAATGGAAGTTGAAATATTACCTCCTCCTGGATGAAGGATATGAGATAGGTTCATATACTCCAGAAGGAGCCTAGCAGAAGAATACTAATACATAAAGAGAAGGGGCAGAGATCAGGTATCCCGAGCCCTAAGATGATCTCCAAACTCCTTAGGCTACACAGAGAGGTAAATGAATCTGCTGGCATTCCCACATCTCTCTAATGATTGCACAAGGTCAACCTTTGCAGGAGGATTTGATGCTCTGCCTTGAGCCCATGAACAGGAAACACTATGTGCAAGGATGAGTCTGAATGGCCCTATATAGTAGTAATTCCTTTATTTATCTGGGATTCAACATGCTGAGGGCACTTCTTGGGTGGAACATCCTACTGAACGGTGGTGCGACTGAGCAAGGGAAGGAAGGATGGAAGGCAAGACAGCCAGTCCAGCAGCCTGCAGGGTAGCACACTTGTTCAGAAATAGGAGATATGGTTTCTATAAGCAACAGTCTCAAAACCAAGGTTGCTAGCTCCTCGGCAGGCCTGAAAAAGGACAGTGGCATTAATCCACCAAAGGTGCCGAGAGCAAAAATCACTGAGCTCTGGGGGTTGATGCCCCTTCTTCCGATTATTTAACACATGGGAATAACTCGGACGAAACTCTAACTCTTAAGTACCTTTGTGCAAACGATGATCATAGCTGAAACTCATTGAAAGCTTAAAGTTGTGGGTACAAATTGCTCTGTTCAGATCACAGGAGTACAAATGTCACTATCCTCTGGTACTGCATGATAATAAAATCTCAATCTAATTTCTGCCTCGAAAAAGCCAAGGTGAGTTAGAAGCTTAAGAAAGAGATGGTTCCCATTCATAAATCACAGGGCCTGCATTTCCAAGCAAATGAAAATTACGCTGAGCCTGACAGGTTGCCATCTTCCTTCTTGTGCAGGCGTGTAGTAAATGTATTTTTGTGGTTTGTCCACATACCATCTTTGTCTTAAGGATCACAGATGGAGCAGCCTTACTTAAGTTGAGCATCCTGGGGGGACTATTGAAAGGAAGATAGTGTGGTTGGATGTTTGAGGTAGGAGTGCCACTCCCTGTACTCTGTTTTCCTCTGTAATTTCGGAGCAAGTGGCATAGGAAGGAAGTGGTGAGAGAGAGGCAAGGAGGAGACCTTATTTCTTCTTCAAGGCCCCTAGACTCTCCTTTGCAGATGTGTGTATGTGGTGAAACGGACCACACGTTCTGCAGTAGCATTTCATACACAGGTGGGTAAAGGACCTGTGCTTTTTAAATGCTCAGGCGTGGCACGGGAGAGCTATAACTTGGCAGAACAGATTTCGTTTGTGTGCCCTTTGTGTGCATCGTCTGGATTCCCATCAGGGTTCATACAACAGACGCTGCTCTGCAGGGGACTTGTGCAGTGCCACTGGGCTGGGAGTCTTGTGGGCTCACGGCTGAGCTTCATGTCTTACTTTCACAAAAAAAATGACTTACAATACAACTCAGTGTTCAGGCTTGAATAATAATGTTAACCTCTTTCTACACTTTGTTCTGTTTCATTATATGATATTTTGGTCACATACTTAAAAAATACCCCCCCCCCTTTCACCAAATACAGCATTCGCCCAGTTGTTTTCTAGGGCAGGAGGTGTAGAAGTGGTTTCCCTGTCCCTTTTTAATGTTTTCATCCACTTTGGCCCCATTTGGACATGTTAGTGATGGGTTTTCCATAAGTTCTTTGAAAATGTCTGTGGTCAAAGGAAGTCTTTTGGGGTGAGAGGAGTCCTCTGCTCAAGGGGCAGTCTTAGGGGCCAGCACTGCGCAGCACATGAGCTTGAGCTCCAGCTGAGGGACAGCAGGTTTTGGTTCTCCTTGGCGCATCGCCCTCCTTGGGGCTGTCCAAAACAGCCAGTTCAAGGCGAAGCCTGACCTGGGCTCCTGACCAGGGCTGCTGGCACAGAAGGCTGCAACCCCTCTTCTGCCACTTGGGTGGCAGTGACAGTGGAGTTGTCTGTGACCCAGAAGCACCATTTGCTGCCCAGCCCTGTTCACCTCACCTGCCTGCCAGTCACTGTGAGGTCCCAGGCGCTGGCTGCTGCTCTCGCAGCTGCTTTTCCCTTGAGCTGTTTCACAATGTGAAAGAAGAGGTGAAGGGAGGCAGTGGGATAACGTTTGACAGTAGTTCTGTCAGGTGTAGAGGAGGTTATAACTAAGATGGGAGGCATGAGCACCGATATAGAATCACAGAATCATTAAGGTTGGAAGAGACCTCTAAGATCATCGAGTCCAACTGTCAACCCAACACCACCATGCCTACTAAACCATGTCCCTAAGCGCTTCATCTACCCGTCTTTTAAATACTTCCAGGGATGGTGACTCAACCACTTCCCTGGGCAGCCTG